GTCATTAACTGGTACTTTCTGCTAAGCGCTTTAATATTACAGACTCAAAAGCCTGTTTCTTCTCCTTTACTCATTTCCCCTCTAAAACACAACAATAAGAGAACAGGGTGCTCTTGATCAACACAAGGGGAGGGGGCAGCCAGACAAACCTAGGTTATTATTCACCAGTTCACACGCAGCGGTAATTGACACTAGTCTATTCATCAAGAACACAAACGAGGCAATGACGCTGCAGCACAATGAGACACATCATCAGTACTGATCTGCTGTGGACGGGCCCATTGTCTGTCTTCTTTGCCCCATCCTCTTCATCTCTCTATAAACAAACCGGCAGAGGATAGCACTGCGGCGTTATTTACAAAAAAAAACAAGCATGCCTGAACAAAGCTGTTCACTGCTGCTGAATCACAGTGAATCACACGGCTCCTCAGAGGAGGATAGCTGAATGCAAACGAGAGCACCGGCAGCTGTATTGAACAGCGTGTGCCAGGCTCAGTATATCATCTGCTCTGACAGATATTGGCGAATCATCTCAGTGCAGTCGTGTGAAAGCCATTAATTTACAAAAAAACCCAGCATTTTTCTGGAGTGAAGAGCGCAGCGCTGATTATTGACGCCACTGGTTTTTTAACAAGTTTCAAGGGACGGAGGGTCGCGAGACTCGCTCTGATTCAAGTTTCAGTTCAAGTAAGACGAGAGCTTTTCAGCACGAGGCGGTGATTTAGACGCTGATTATCATTACGGGAACCAAAGCCTCCACAAAACAGCTTTGTTCCACTTGTTGAATAAATGAAGCGTGCAGTGTCTTGTGTGTAATGAGTAAATGAGTTGCTTTTGACAGTTTTATTTATTTTATCCCCCCTTCACAGTGTCTTAGTGCACGTACCGAGTTCATGAGGTAATTCGTGGCAGAAAACAGCCACTGATGTGCTGATGCCACCTGTCAGGTTTGCACTGAACGCAGCGCCTGTAGAGTTCAAAGTGTCAGAGAAAAGAGAAAGAAACAGACCATTAGAGGAAACTACAGACTGCTGTGCATCTACCAGTTAAATATTAATCTTCTGCCAAAAGACTGCTGGTTCAAGCTTCGAGCTTGGTATATAAAAAACAAAAAAAACAAAACCAAAAACTGTTTTGCGAGAGACCAACAGCACCGTGTTTCCAGACTTCAGACTTAACATAGACCCATTAGGCCTTATTTTCTGTCAGACATGTGCCGTTACATGACTGGATGTTAATAATAAATGACTAAAGTGAAGAATTTCATCTATTTAAAAGTGATCTCAGATCTAAAACTAAAAGCTCGAGAGACAGATATGGGAGCTGGGAGTGATGTCATGCCCAACCGGACTGCATTCCAGCATAGTCCTCACTGCTTTCCTCATCTAATGGGCATCATTTGGAAAACTGCTGGTATTTCAGTCTCTGCTTTCAGTGCCACTGGATTTAAATCCTGTATACTGGTGAGTTACAAAATCGTGGTACCTATGGCGAGGCCATCGCTGAAATTGTGCATGCCGTCTCCCATGATGACCATCCAGGCAATGCTGGCTATCCCAGCGTCCTTCATCTCCTGATCCGAGTGGCAGTTTCCTCCATGAGAGTGACCGTGTCCGTGCGAGTGCTTCTTGGTTTTACGTCCATTCTCCTTGGTGGGGGACTGACTGAGGTTTGCGGGTGCCAGCGGCGTCTTGTTGGTGGGAGAGTCTGGCGTCTGGAGCTCTGTGAGCTGCGTGTCGTTGTGGCTGTTGTCGCAGGAGACAGCTGTGCTGTCAGGGTCTGGCAGAGGGAGGAAATGTTAACGGGAGGACCAAAGGAGCTAAAGCTCGCGACCTGCTGTAAAGATTCACGAACAAACACTAACCTTCATTGAGCGGCTTAAGGTGGAGCCACTCTGCATCCGAGCGCCGATTTAACTTATGATCTGACAACTTCCTGCCAATCTTGCCCTCCTCATTCACCTTCTTCATGCCCTGTGAGCAACAATGCTCATTATATATATTTATACACATTTGTTACACTGTGTTGCTTCAAAACAGTTTGAACAAAAGACAAACCCTAAGGCAGAAACAGAGGTTTAGCGTCTGATAACGGCCCACTCCATCACCTGCAGCTGGATCAAGGTAACTCACCCTCTGGTCTTTGTAGTGCTTAAACATGCCAATACAGTGTTCGATGATGAAGAGGAGGTAGATGCCGGCCAAGGCTGTAAGCCCCTTCCACACTCCATCAAAAGCTGTTACCATATCTTCTTCCTGGTCGGCACCATGTTTGCTGTGATCGTGCTGCCCTTGAGACTGAAGACAGGAAGAGGAGCAACAGTTGACTGAGTGACACATGACATTCATCAGAGCAGCGTAACCTGGACTCACTAAGAGGAAACAGTTACAAAACTGTTCAGTGGAACTGGCGTTTTCATGTCATCAACATAAACAAATAAACAAACACAAATGTGACACTGTTGTACAAAAACAGATGCTATAATTCTCCACAGTATACAAGTTACACATTTAACACAGAGTTAACAGTTGCTGATTTCCTTTTCTACATCGATGTTAAGGCTGTCAAGTCTCGCGTCAGGTCAGAGGTGACATAACATTTGCAATAAATTCTCAAGATAATTTTGATTTTACTCAAAGGGTTTTTAATTCTATTCTAATAACATTTAATATAAAGAATTTCTCTTTTCTTTGACTTCATTAAATGTCTGTTACCATTTCACAGCGATAACATCAACGTGTTAAAATTAACTCAACGAAGCCCGAACCATGAACAAACTATATCAGTATTTTTTATATGGAGCAAGCAATTTAGTTTTTTGGGGGACCAAAAAAACAAAGACACACTGATGATCTGGAGGTGTCACAACTCACAAAAACTCAGGTATCAAATATCACAATGGATGTGAATGGAAGTCGTTTGTGGTTCAGTATTTAAAAATGAAGAAACATGAAGCCACCGTTCTTCTGATTAACCCACAGAATCCACACGTTCTGGTTCGATTCATTTCCACTGACGGAGCAAGTTGTGCTTGTAGTTTTAGGCTCTTTGTCACAAAAAGGTCATTTCTGTTACCACTTTAACCCACTTCCATCGATTGCACAGTGGACTTAATGAAATTGCCGCTAAGGCACCACAAAGACATTATTCCTGTGTTTAGAAGCTGCCGTCTGTCTTTTGTACTTACGTGAGGCAGCAGGTGAAGGAGAGCGTCACCACTGAGCGTGCCCACTGCCAACGCTACCAGAAAGGTGAGCAGGAACTTGAAGCACGATTGCTTGAGGATGGGCACGAGTACGACCCCCAGCAGAGACAGCAGGCTGATGATGGTGATGGACACAAATCCCCAAATCCAGACCCACACTGGAGGAGGAAAAATAAACACAATAAATTCAATGATAAAATATGAGTATTATTTATCGGACAGCTTATTTTTTTCCCCCATTTGTTTGGTGAGGACTTTGTTTTAGAAAAGGTACAAAATAAACGCTTTTTTCATTTCCAGTCAAACAACGAGAGACGACACCATCAGCTGCAGCTTTATCATCACATGGCTCATGGCTGCAGGTGTTTTCCCCCACATTGTTCACACATGAAGGAAAGCATCCTCCAGAGGTTTTAAATCCATGTGTCCTTGTGATGACACACGATGCCTAAAGCAAAAAGCACGAGGTGACATTTCAGCAGAATTCTTCTCGCCTCATTTTTCATTCAAGGCCAGAGTCAAGAGACGTGAAGCGCCAGAGAAAAAGTGAGAAAGGTACACTATCATTTAAACTGTCAGTCGAGCTGTCAGCCCAGGACGCTCTCAGAAGCGAGAAAAAGTTTTGTCGTCAAACACGACAAAGTGTTTAATGTGGTATGAAATTCCATGTCGCACCAAAGCTGGTCCGTGCTCTCTAAAGCGATGCTGGTCCTTCACTGCTGACATTCACCTAAAGGACATCTATTGACTGAAACACTTAGTGCATGTAATGCACATATTACAGACAATTGACTTCAGGGAGGCTATTTGAGAACCATGACACGAAACACAAACAACACATTTCAGAGACTTTTTTTGTTAACTATAGTTCGATGTAGCAGCTGTTTGTGAGGCCAAACAAGTTTTCTCCAAACTGTTTTCCATATGACAAACTCTAGGTTTTGGTGGAGCTTCAGTCATGCATACAGCCGTATCACAGGTGACACAGAGCCAGCAGGAAAACCCGACAGGCAGACCTTCTCTCCTCTTCTATTCGGCCCCAGTTGGCGGAGCTTTTGAAGACATGATCTGAAACATGTCTTACACCTGGCGGAGTGGTCTTTAAAGAGGCTGAATCAAGCTGTTACTGTACCATTACACAGCTGTGGGATTAAAAAAAAAAAAAAACACTACCAAAGACATCTCTCCCCAAGCGCCAGGCTCACTACTCAGAAACAGGAGGCTGGAGATCCTCCTGGGGAAAGTATTGTGTACAAGTGGTGTGTCTGATGCTTGTAATTAGCTTTTGGGAAGCTACTCTTTTCCTCTGAAGCCATGAAAAAAAAAGTTAGTATTTGACTGAGGATCTGTGTGCGATGGATTTACTTGCTGACGCCCCTTTGACAGCGGAGTGAATTCAGAGCACAGGCCGAAGCTGAGCACTGAGACTCTTTGAGCCATTTGGATTCAGGCTGTAACGTGCACGACATTGTGCTGATGTTTTTTTTATTCCCTCATTAATTAGACCGACTTGGGCTAAAATCCTCATAAACCTCCCAACATTACTCTCTGCAGTTTATACCCCGTAATGACGGGCATGTTGGATACAGTTCACCAACATCAATTAAAAAGGTTCTCCTCTCGCTGGCTCCTTCCCTCGGCTCTCCCTGTTCACTGTGTTCCCATACAGTACTTTGTGTAACACCATGCAGCATCATCTTTTAGTTTGTTCAATTAACTCGTGCCCGCAGGACTTCAGACTACTGGAAAATGCTTCGTTTTGACATTTTATTAAAGTCTTCACAGATATATTCATCTTGGCCACAAGGCTCTGGGTGTGAACTGAAAGCCCGCCCACCTTCCATTGAAATCTGATTGCACAAGGCAGCCAATTGGATGAAAGCTGTATCTCAAACAAGGCTTTTTTTTTCCCCCTCTCTTTTTTTTTTTTCAAAATAAGACTAAACTAAAGAGCTGAACAAAGACCCAGTTTAAGATAAATAAAGATGATTTTGTTTGTGGATGGTGATCATGTAAAGCTACTCAAGCTACTAAAGGTCCCCTTTAAAAACTTTGACTCCAACGTGTTCAGAAAAGTGAACAGAAATAACTAAATCTTGCCTTTAATTTGAAATAATCCTGACATCAAAATATTTCCTCTCAAACTGGCAAAAGGGCGTGAATGATGAAGGCTTCTAACACGCCCACTTATAACATATGATCGCTCCTGGGCTCGCCATGTTTCCTCACACTGCAGGCCGTGAGTCAGCACACAAAAATACCACAAAATGCATCTGGCGCACCCAAAGGATACCAGCCAGGGAGCATCTGACTGATCTGCACTGCTGAGATTCACCAAGGCCTCAGTGGTTTATTCATGAATCATAACATGTATATATGCATATGAATATATAAAAATTTTTTATGTTTTCTACTTTCTACTTTGCTTCCTCCCCAAAATAAAATATCCTCAAACAACAAAGTCAAAAATGTTTAATTCGTAGCTTTAAAGGTTCTCTTGGACCAAAGCAAAGTGTTTGCGTCCTAGTATGAGTCACTACATATGTATTTTTAATCCTACTTTATGGTAAGAATGATGGGAAAGCCTGTTTTTAAGCAACTATCAGTGATTAGAGTACAACAAAGAAGTTATTTCTCCTTCGTATGTTAAACTTCAACCTCAGTCCTGTGCAGATCGCTGCTGCAAAGACGCAGTGAAGCCATCAAGCCAGCAGCGGGCTTAGTAAAACAGGAAGGAAACGCTAATTTCAGGTAATCATACAAACAAGTTTTAAGAGTCACGTGACTTGTTGTAGGTCGGTGTTGTGTCAGCACAGCTCATATTTGTTGTGTATCCCTTCCAGCGTCTTCATGGATCTATTAGAGCTTCTTCGTTCAGTTAAAGAGAAAAGGATGCGCTGCGTTTCTGCAGAACATTTTACGCACTCTACTCCCACGAGAACCTTTGAAAAGTCAGCACTCTTTGCTCTGTCGTCTGCAGCTCACTCAAACAGTATGCTGAACCCGGCAGCGAGCGCAGCACAAGCCACGTCCTGCGTGAAAGCCCCTTGAGGCAGAAGCTGCTCAGCGATTTGACAGAAAACCAGAGAGCGACGCTGAATATCAAGACACCTCCGAACCCTCTGGAGTTTTGAAGGTGGAGGACTTTTCCCTGCTGAAGTGGACTTTAGTTTGATGAAGGCAGTCACAAACAGAATCGAGTCGAGCTCGTCGCCCCCTCCTTCCTTCTCTCTTAATATCACAGGACGATCCTGCCATCTGCACCTGTGCCAAGCCACACGTAGGAGTGAAAAGAAAGAATGCTTCTATTTAAAAATGGGCACAGCTTTGCAGAAGCCCACTAAATAAAATAATTAAAATAAATTTTTTTTAAATATAAATTCATCTCATTCCTGCCCCGAAGATGCTTCAAACATCAGCTTGTATTTTCAACCCCTGAAATGCTGTTTTATTTTATTTTTTTATGTATCTGCAGAAATGTCACTGATACCACATCGCGATCGCGACGCTAGCATCGCGACGCTAGCCAAAAGTGGACCTTTGGGATTTAAGAATCAGTCTGTGCATCATCCTGGTATTTTGGGGCATTTTAGGTATTAGTAACTGTATAATTGTTACAAACAAGAAACCCTCTTTATTAACGTGTCTGTAAAGCACTTTGAATCACCTTGTTGTTGAATTGTGCTATACAAATAAACTTGCCTTGCCTTTATAATCACAACGGTGAGATTGATGGCCAAACCCTGATTGTTTGTTGCCAGCAGTTTTAGAAGCGTGACAGTAGAATTATAAGAGTTATTCACAGCTCAGACAACATGTTTATAAGAGCGCTCTACCTCTTGAAGCAGCAGACTACAGCTATTAGTCTCTTCAGAGCCGCTTTACTGATTCCACACATTACAAAGAGCGGCTCATCGTGAGACAACAGTCAATCTGTATTCAAATCTCTTCACTAACACTCACCTTATTGTTTTTATTATAACCACCATTTTCAATGTACATTATATAAGTGAAGTTTTACAGATGAATGCTTTTCTATTTGTTGCTATCATGCGGAACAACGTGTAACCCTGAGAGGCAACTGTACATCAGCCAGACAGTCCATCGCCACATCACCGCAGGTCCTTCACACTCACGCAGCTCATCTCCCTCTCTATCTCATTACCTTTATGCAGCTGTGGTTGTGTGGGCGGGTGTATGTATGTGTGTGTGCTTAGGCGTAGACATGGAGGTGGGCAGGGGGTTGCAGCAGGGCAATTTAAAGGCGGTGATAAGGGAACAGAGGAGAGAACGAAAGAGACCAACTTCTCTCCAATTAACCATCTCCTGTGAGCCACGGCTCAGAAAAATGGCCCCCGGTGTCGCTTAGGCTCTCCTAATTGGCACGGCGCAAAAAAAAGAGGGGAGTGGGGACCAGAAAGAAGTGAACTGCAAATTTTCCGAGCTCCCCCGCGGATGCCGGCAGGAGGTAAATGAGAGGCAGCTCTGCAGCTTGTGGTGACGTCTATGGTTGAATCTTGGTGCACCATTTCTGAAAATCTAGCGCCTCTAGTTTTGCACTAATGAGGAGCCGTTGCTGCCCTTTTGACTTGTTTGTGCAGTCCTCCTCGTCATCGTTACGGTTTTAAAAAATTATTATTATTATTATTATTATTAATGTTTTCAGGGGCGGCACACTTTGGCCTGAAGCCCGTATGGCACAGGTTTCTCCAGGAGGAAGTGTGTGCTTAACAATTAAGGCACTTTGGGAATTTCTCCAACCTCACAGCTGAACTTCAGTCCCTTTTGTCTAATTCTGTCCCCGCTGTAAACCTATCAAGTGTAAATCTGTCTTCAGTCACAAAAGCCACTCCTCTAATTAAAAGTAAATCTTATGACCCAAAGTCACTGTGATGTCTAATTTGCAGCATGTACACAAAAACAAACACACTTACACAGCAGGGGGGGGTCACACAAAACATGAGAACTCACAAACTGAGACAGAACTCATTATGCTTTTCCCTAATTTTCTGTCATACACAAACCATTATAATGCTGGATGTTCATATTAGCCAAAGTTTCACATAATGAGGTCAGTCCATAGACTAATCCCACCAAGCCGAAAGACTCCGGCTGCTCAATTACAGCAGAAATCATAACTACAGTTATTTTCCACAAATAATAACTATCTTCAACTGTTTAATTTAACACCATGCAGCAGTAGCTACACTTGACCGAGATGAACACCATGTCTTAAGAGACCAACACGGAGACAGACAGTGTTAATAATCCTTCCACAGGTTCACCAATGGTAATTCTGGAGTTGCACTAAACAGCATGTAAGTCTGAGCTTTCAGGACGCCGCAGTAAAGGAAGAAGGTGGGTGTGATTTCTATAGAAACGCTGAGCTTTGCTGTGAAAATTCATGGGAAAAAGTCTCATTGTCCCCTGGTTTGACTCACAGCTAGCTGCACACAGTGTTCCTGTTGTTAGCCAAAGTCTGAGGACAACTAGTTTTATTAAGACTGAGCTTGTAGTTCATAGTTTGACTTAATACCACAACTACAAAGAGATGCTGCTGCTGCTGATGTTTCTCAGGAGTTTCTGATCCTTGGAGGTTAAAGTTCTGAATTTTTTTCCAGCCTAACCTTGAAAAGTGGCGTGATATCAGTCCTTGACTAAATCGAATACCTACATTTTTTTTCCTTATGTTTTTCTTGTAAATTTAGTGTTTTAATCTAGAGATTTTTTTCTCATTATTATCCCCCTTCACACCTTCTCTTTGCACGGGACAGACACTCTGAAATAACTTAAAGGGAGGCTGGAGATGAACTCACACTGAACTTAGAGGATGAGCTACACCGAGGCCCATTATAAGTTAAAGAAAGATTATTTTTAAACATGAATCATGCAAAGCTACTCTAGCAGAAACCAAGAAAACAAATACAGAGCTGGAAACGAGCATAAGGTCCCCTTTAACTGCCACAACGTGATTAGACTGATTATTACACAAGTTAACAAAATACTGTAATTCCAGATGGCTTTGTGCAATCTATTCTGAGATTTACATGCTGAGCCCACCAATATAAACACATTAATGTACCGTAAAGCGTAAATTCAAAGAAACCCAAAGATGTGCAGTCTGTCTTGTATTTTTGGTTTGCAGTAGCTGAGATTACTGCTCCTCCTTTGATTTGTAAGAAAGGTTTTATAGCTTCGAGTTTTATTTCACGACCTGTAACTCATTAACTTTTAAACGCTATGATTTTATAATTTGCATTCCCATAAACCTGGAAACATTGTAAGGTCTCAGAGCAGGACTTAATACCGACCTTCTGACTTTATAGCTCCGCTTTTGTCCTCTTTCGGTTTTCAGATTTTCTTTTTTTGAATATTATTGATTGGAGGATGTGATCAGAATACAAACTGAGCGAAGAAAGCTCACTGAAAGAAAGAAGTAGTTGGGCACTCAAAGGGACACAAACGGTCCTTCTTTGCTCTATTTAGAAAAGACAAAAAAGGACCACTTGTTCATTGCCATGGCAACTGAAATAATTTAATAAGGAGAAGAGACAGATGGAAAGCTCCAAACACAGACTGAGTGCTGCAGTTAGGTGTGTGAATAGCCCAGAAATGTCCTGTATTAAGATGACTGCAAGAAGGCCAACTGTAGCACATTAATGGGTGATTCCACTATGACCTCCATCCTAATCAGCTGAATTATGGTAGCCTTTTCATATAGACAAAACTGTAAACTTGCTTATAAAGTTTTGTGTTTCACATATTTTTCTTTTTTCTGTTTAAAACAAAATCACTACTTTTAAGTCAGTTTAGTTTCACTTTGTTTACAATTTCAGTTTTTAGCGCTCAAAGTCACAGATTTCCTAGTCTCAGTAAACACACCAAAGCTGCCACCCTCTGTGTGTTGAAGACTTAAACTAAAGACGTCCACAGATACATGTTTACATGAAGTCTATGCTTGATCTATAGTTCAGTTAACTCAAACATTTCCCAAACTTTTTGCTTTTTCTTTAGTTAACTATATAAAAAAAGCCCTGAACCACAGATGAGATTCACAGTGGTTCCACAAACTACACACTGAGCAGAAGCTCATGAGGTCAGGGTCATGTCTACAGCAGCAGACGCCATAAAAAACGTCTTGAGTGGTTTTAGAGGAACATTTCCGTCTTGAACAAAGGTTAGTGTGAGACAACCTTGCAGCAGGTTTGATATAAAGAACAAAGTACATGTTTAGCAGTAAGCAGGAAAAAGCCTCCTGGACAATGACGACATCGCTCACTGCTTTAAGTGACTCGAGTCTCAAATTTCTCCAAGTCTACATTATTAGCGAGAACTGATGTTACGCCTTCCTTCAGCTGTAAATAAAACACATGTTGTGTAAATACATGAAGCAATTTGAGCA